TTATATTTTCGGCGTGTAATATTTATAACGTCTTTAAAATATCTGCAAGCTAACATTTATTATCTAGAATAAATTTCGATATTGAAAAAAACACCAAGGGGATTTGAACCCCTCCCATTTTACTCCTTAACCACTATATCACTTATGTTTTTGTGAAAATATGCTAATATATATATATATACATGGTTTTGTTTTGAATTTTTTTTGCAAGAAACAAATTTTCACATGAGATGAGAATGAATCTTTGACCATTCCTTTTCAAGTTTCACATGCAAGAAACAAATTATCATTTGATGACTACTCTTCACAATATACTTACTCTACACATAGAGATGATGAATTAGAGACTGAAATTCTGGATGAGAGCTATTCACTGGGCTTAGAAAATGCATGACTGGGGCTACTGTCTCTCCAAGACCTATGAAGCCGTGAAGTATGGCTCTTTTGTTACGGAAACAACCCCCTCGAATGTGAGTGTTGCTTTCACATTTGCAGGGTATAACATCCCGACCCAAAATAAAAGGAATAGTGAATTAGTTAATTTCAGGAATTATGAATTTCCAATTTTGCCCTCGGAGTAGGGGTAATTTGGTCATTTTTAATCCGGAAGGATTTGGGGGCAGTGGCTGGTATGTTTATGTAGGTCGTACTGAGACGAGTCCGTAGACACGTAGTGGGCTCGATTCGGACTTATAACGAAGAAGTTACGATCTAAAAACTCTCAGTGGCACAATCGTAATTATTTCAAAATTTTATTTGAATAAAAATCAGAAACTCTCCCATTTTCTCTCTCTCTCCCCCGCGCGCAGAAACCCCCCTTGCGCTGTTACTGTTCACCGGCGGCTTCTTTGAGCCGCCGCCGCCGCCACGGTCCACCACCGGAGCTGGGACCAATCCCAAAACAACCGGCTGGTCTTCCTCGTCCAATCCCAGCCAAGCCCAGCCACCACCACCGCCGGAAGCCACCGGAAAATGCAGAAAATCGCGGCTGGTTTTTGACAGAACTTCCAACTGCTCGTTCTCCCTCATTTCTCCACCAAATTGGACGTGTAAGGTATGGATTTCCATCTATTTTTCCTGATCTAGCTGCTGGTTGGGTAGGATTGCATCAATTTTGAGCGTAGGTAGTTCGATTTTCGAATTTAAGTTTAGCCGGACTTCGGGTTGAATTTCCGGCCACTTCCGGCCACTTTTTGGCCATAGCCCAAGAACAAAAGTGACTCCAAATTAGGTGTATTACATAGGGTAGGAGTTTGGAGCCGTGATTTTGAGATTTTCCGGCGATGTGATATCGCTTTGGACACCCACGTGCTGCCAGCGCGTGGGCACTGTATCAGAGAGGAATTTTGTCCCAATGCGATCCCCTGGTTGTTACGAGTGCGTAGGATTTTACGGATCTCAATTTGGGTAACGTTTGAACCCCGAACGGATTTTACATATTGCGTGATTTCCGGGTTCGATATGTTAGAACCGTTGGATCGTTTCCCATTTAATATATGTTGATTTAGGTATTCCTAGGATCGTGTAGGATTTCACGGAATGTGAATCGGAGTCCCAGATGTTCCGATTTAATAAATTAAAGTTTGTATTTTACGATAACCGTTCGATCGTGCGATCGCGAGCGATCTAACCGTCCAATCCAGACCAAACTTGCAGGACGTGTATCCTAGACCTTGTGGAACCCATAGGAACTTTCGGATCGTAAAATGGAGGTCGTGGGCCCCGCGGGCCCAGTTGACCAAGTTTGGATAGTTTAACCATCGGTTGACCGTGAGTCTTTCGAGGTAGTTTCACTCCTCGAGGAGTACTAGAACGACCCTTTTGGACGAGTCTTGACCATCATTTGATTTTTGTTGTTTATGTGGGACTATGGGGCTATTTTTTTATGGTTTTGAGAGGGAAATCTTATGCTTTTGTATTTAGGGCCAGTTTGGCATTACTGTGCTGTGAAAATAATCGCTGTTAGATTTGCTGTGAGAGAAATCAGCTGTAAGAGAAAGCTGTTTGGCGTTTGGTAAAATTTTTGTTAAAAGTGTTGTTGATATTGATTTCAACAAAATCATAAAATAATTGTTGCATTATCATTAAACCCAACGCATCTTCAAAACTGATTTCTGCATAATCAGAAAATGACAGCAACTCATTAGCTACTTTCCCTTATAGCTTTCTCTCACAGCAATTTTTAACAATAAGTGATTTTCTCATAGTTTACCAAACGGGTTGGACTTCCCAAAATTTTTTAAAAATCACTTATCACCCCAAATAAGCAATGCCAAACGGGCACTTAATGGTTTATTTAAATGCTTGTTACATTTAATAGTTGAATTCTTTATTTTGTAAAGTAGTTGCAATATATGTGGTTTGACATATTCGAGTGTTTTGATTATATATAATAATTGAGAAAGTGCTATCTTTGTTGATTTTGTGTGGGGTACTTAGAATGTTAATTTGAGTGTTTTTAGCACTACCTTAGGTACCTCCCCGGTTATGGGTTTTATGTTTGAGATTTATTTTGCCCAGGTCCGTCGGAGTTTGTCCAGGCCCTTCGGATGTCTTCTTAATACGATGCCTTTTTGAAAAATTGGATTAAGGAAGGGAATATTACTTTATAATATTTATATAAGGATTAAAAACTCCACCATCATACGTACCTCCCCCCTTGGATGATGATACTTGGAAACAGTGGATATGGACATTGGGATACATGAAAATGGATATATGGATATGGTTTGGATATGACGGAACCCGGGGCATCCTTGACGGGATGTTGTTGTAGACCCTTGATTGGGTAGTCTGCGCGCGTAGGGCTGTTCCAGGTGTACGGGTCTTGATTCTTCGTCCATACGTGCTGGGTTAGAGTTAGTCCCCCAGTTGGACGGCTTATCCCTAGTCAAATGGGCGTTTGAGGCCGGATACTTGTGAGCTAGTCAGAGCTAGTCAACAATCCCCTGTTGGATTGTTTCCCCCAGTACATGAGGTGCGTCATCATATGTACACCCCCTTGGATATTGATATATGAAAATTGTGGATATGGTTTGGATATGACGGAACCCAGGGCATCCTTGACGGGATGTTGCTGTAGACCCTTGATTGGGTAGTTTGCGCGCGTAGGACTGTTTCAGACGTACGGGTCTTGATTCTTCGTCTGTACGGGCTGGTTAAGTTTAGTCCCCCAGTTGGACGGCTCGTCCCTAGCCACATGGCCATTTGAGGGCGGATACTTGTGAGCTAGTCAACAATCCCCTGTCGGATTATTTTCCCCTGGTACATGATGATGGTGAGAGGTGGGTGTTATTATATATATACTCATTTATAGGCATACATGTTACATATTGGTATATGTGGTTTTGATTCGGGGTTTAGATTCGTGAGATTGTACTTCGTGAGGACCCTGTATATGTATGAATGCTTGAGCCCTGGATTGGGAAGTGTTGTACGGCAACATACGCCTTGGATAGGGTATGGTTATGGGGTTGAACTGACTTGAGGAAAGATATTGAGAATGTGTTCATTCAGTGTTTTGTTGGAATTGGAGTTGTGATAAATCTGAAATGTATCGTTGGTGCTGTTTTAAATAATTGTATATTACTGGAAGTGGCTGTTGAGATGAGAACTACATGTGGCTTGATCCCTTGTCTAAGGGTACGTAGGCAGCCTGGGGTCTCACCTAGGTGCAGCCGCGAAATATTATTGTGTTTAAAAAGGTTTGATCGATTCTGAATATGTGATTGGACTTTGATGTGATTCTTGGATTTTTATGTTTGATGATTTCAGTGGTAATTGTAAAGTTATTTGAGACCATCAATTATTTGGTTTGTGTATTGTTCGACTTAAGAACATTGCTGGGTCTGTTTCGAATTAATTGAAGGCTGGAGGCCTATTATGCAATCGCATGTTGATAACTGTGTGTATTGCATTGTGTGTGCTGCCAGTTGGGTTATAAATTGTGTGTTTTTAACAGGTTGAAATATTTGGGAAATGTCCAATTTACAGGGGAGATTCTGCTGAAATTTCGGCAGAAAGTCTCGTGGCCTTTTCCTTTTTAGGTAAAGAGGCTCGATTTTTGTAAGTGGGCCTGACATCGATGTGATGTGGAAAAATTTCCACAGGATTCGTCTCGGGTTCCGAGGAATTCGGTGTGGGTCCTGTCACAGGGACTACCCCTTTCATCACTCTCAATTACTACCTAGCTGAGAAGCTGAAGAATATTGTACAAAAAGATGCCAGATTTCACCACTAGGTTGAAAAATATTCATCCAATCATTATCAAGTTTGTCCATTTTTTTTTCGGTAGGCAAACTCCATTTATTTGTTGTCAAGGAAAACAATTTGCAGCCGCACATTATGTCTTATTTTTAAAGCATATGTGTTTATTCCAGGCACATTATACCCATACGGAGAGGGTGCTCAATCATCTATGCTGCTCTTTGACCAGGGATGCCTGGCCTCAGTTTTTTGAACCACGATATAGAAGTTCCATGGAATTGGCAATAGACTTTTTCAGCCTGCAAGTCATTGCTGATCAATTCCCCGTAGTTCCTGTAATCAAGGAGGAGTTTGATACTGCAAGAGAGCTCCTCCTTATTGCCCGTGGGTTGAGTTCCTCCTGCTGTGATTCTTACACCAAAGATTTGATGAAGGACATACCTATTGTAAGGGGTAAGTACGTTGATCTATTATTTCAGTTTTTAAAAGTGTAGTTTTGACTTGTGTTTTCTTTCTTTTGCAGTGAGATTTGTACTTAAAAATGTACAGGAAGTCTTATCTCAATTTGCAGATTTTGAAATAAAATTGGACATTTTCAATCAGATTTCTGAGAATACTAAGAAGAAGAAACTGTTGAGGATATTTGTTGGAAGCTCGGTTGGTGACCTTGGCCCTCTTCTGGAAGCAGAATAGGGATTGTCATCAATCCTTGCGATCACCTTTTGGTGGTAGGCTATCAATTTGGGGTGACTTTTATGCCACTGTTGTGGGCAGTCATTCAAAAAAGCACACAAATGCGAGAAGGAATAGGGTCCCTTTGGAAATCAAAGACTGGGACCCTTTATCTTGTCAACAGTTGGCATGAGATAATCATGTTTATCTTTGGAGCTTGTGGTGCTAGGAATGAGAAGCCACCTCGTGGCGATATTCTTGTACCTAAGTCTGCAAAGACATCTTCTGCTTCTAAACTTTGGGCACTTTTGCCGAAGCCAAAGAATGTTGGTGTTGAGATGCCAAAGACAAAGAGTGCTGCAAAGCTACCTGAAGCTGAGGCTGAAGCTGAGACTGCCGAAGCTGAGACTGAAACTGAGACTAAAGCTGACACTGAAGCTGAGACTCCAAAGACATCTTCTGCTTCTAAACTTTGGGCACTTTTGCCGAAGCCAAAGAATGTTGGTGTTGAGATGCCAAAGACAAAGAGTGCTGCAAAGCTACCTGAAGCTGAGGCTGAAGCTGAGACTGCCGAAGCTGAGACTGAAACTGAGACTAAAGCTGACACTGAAGCTGAGACTCCAAAGACATCTTCTGCTTCTAAACTTTGGGCACTTTTGCCGAAGCCAAAGAATGTTGGTGTTGAGATGCCAAAGACAAAGAGTGCTGCAAAGCTACCTGAAGCTGAGGCTGAAGCTGAGACTGCCGAAGCTGAGACTGAAACTGAGACTAAAGCTGACACTGAAGCTGAGACTCCAAAGACATCTTCTGCTTCTAAACTTTGGGCACTTTTGCCGAAGCCAAAGAATGTTGGTGTTGAGATGCCAAAGACAAAGAGTGCTGCAAAGCTACCTGAAGCTGAGGCTGAAGCTGAGACTGCCGAAGCTGAGACTGAAACTGAGACTAAAGCTGACACTGAAGCACATACCTATTATAAGGGGTAAGTACGTTGATCTATTATTTCAGTTTTTAAAAGTGTAGTTTTGACTTGTGTTTTCTTTCTTTTGCAGTGGGATTTGTACTTAAAAATGTATAGGAAGTCTTATCTCTATTTGCAGATTTTGAAATAAAATTGTACATTTTCAATCAGATTTATGAGAATACTAAGAAGAAGAAACTGTTGAGGATATTTGTTGGAAGCTCGGTTGGTGACCTCGGCCCTCTTCTGGAAGCAGAATAGGGATTGTCATCAATCCTTGCGATCACCTTTTGGCGGTAGGCTATCAATTTGGGGTGACTTTTATGCCACTGTTGTGGGTAGTCATTCAGAAAAGCAAACAAATGCGAGAAGCCACTTGACGATAAGAAGCCACCTCATGGCGATATTCTTAAACTTAAGTATGCAAAGCCAAAGAATGCTGGTGTTAAGACATTGTCAGATTCTCAGTTGTATTTTGATGGCTGTAGTCTGCAACTTCTGAACTTTTGGCACTTTTGCCAAATCCAAAAAGTGCTGTAAAGCTACCTTCAGCTGAGAATGAAGCTGAGATTGCTGAAGATGAGAATGTGGAAGCTGAAAAGCAACAAGCTGAGAAGCCAAAGAGTGCTGCAAAGCTACCTTCATCTGAGAATGAAGCTGAACTGCTGAAGATGAGAATGTGGAAGCTGAAAAGCAACAAGCTGAGAAGCCAAAGAGTGCTGCAAAGCTACCTTCATCTGAGAATGAAGCTGAACTGCTGAAGATGAGAATGTGGAAGCTGAAAAGCAACAAGCTGAGAAGCCAAAGAGTGCTGCAAAGCTACCTTCATCTGAGAATGAAGCTGAACTGCTGAAGATGAGAATGTGGAAGCTGAAAAGCAACAAGCTGAGAAGCCAAAGAGTGCTGCAAAGCTACCTTCATCTGAGAATGAAGCTGAACTGCTGAAGATGAGAATGTGGAAGCTGAAAAGCAACAAGCTGAGAAGCCAAAGAGTGCTGCAAAGCTACCTTCATCTGAGAATGAAGCTGAACTGCTGAAGATGAGAATGTGGAAGCTGAAAAGCAACAAGCTGAGAAGCCAAAGAGTGCTTGTGCTAAGCCACCTCATTGCGATATTCTTGAACCACAGTCTACAAAGATATCTTCTACACTTCGGGAACTTTTGCCAAAGCCAAAGAATGCTGGTGTTAAGACAGTGTCACCTAAGTCTGCAAAGCTGCCTAAGAATGTATTAACACCAGCATTCTTTGGCTTTGGCAAAAGTTCCCGAAGTGTAGAAGATACCTTTGCAGACTGTGGTTCAAGAATATCGCAGTGAGGTGGCTTAGCACAAGCACTCTTTGGCTTTTCAGCTTGTTGCTTTTCAGCTTCCACATTCTCATCTTCAGCAATCTCGGCTTCATTCTCAGATGAAGGTAGCTTTGCAGCACTCTTTGGCTTCTCAGCTTTTGCTTTTCAGCTTTCACATTCTCATCTTCAGCAGTCTCAGCTTCATTCTCAGCTGAAGGTAGCTTTGCAGCACTCTTTGGCTTTGGCAAAAGTACCAAAAGTGCAAAAGACTTTGGTTCAAGAATGTCGCCAAAGAAGGCTTACTTTCTTCAATCTTTCGTAAAAGGTCACCCATTTCAGTTTCAAGTAAGCACCTTCTCCCTCAATTTCAGTTTCAGTTTGGTTTTAATGTTTTCTGGCTAAGGCTCTTGAACAGTGAAACTATTTTAGTTAAATTAATGTGTATGGTATGCATGATCGCTTTCTTAAAGCTGGTAATAACAATTAATGAGGCTCTTAAAATATCCAAACACTTTTGGAAGAAGATACTACATATCAGGGGATTTTGAGACCAAGAGTTGTTATCCACAATGATTATGGCAAGACTTATTTATAAACCACTGTTTGGTTGTTATGTGTATGTGTTTGACAATTGCCATAGAATGCAGCATACCTATATGGTATATTTATCTATGTATGTGCGTACAATCATTTTTGGTTAGCATTTTTAAGTTTAACAAGTGATACTAGTTTGCAAGTTCAAACCTTGGAGGACAAATAACTTGACACAAAGATTTGATATAGAGCATTCTTGCTCCACCAGTCGTAGACTTGACTGATATTCATGAAACGGTTATTGCTGTTTGCTTTACTCCGAAAACCAGATAGCCTGGTCCAGCTCCCTTATATTGGATGCTTAGAATGTTCATAATATTATTGGGAAAGTTAGGTTCTTGTCAGCCTTGTGGGCTTCAGTTTCGGTTGAATTTAAAGACTACTTTCTCCATTTTTCTAGACTGGAAAGGCTGTGGTGGTTTGAGTTCTTATGTTTTTGGCCTGGTCTTTTTATAGCCTAGTCCTGTTGAAGTCTTCTCTGTTTATATTTTGTTTCCTGTAGCTGGCTGTGAAGTTCTCGTTCACGGCTGTTGTTTCTTCTGTCTAGTTGCTTCCTTCAATAAAAGTTTGTTTCTTTTCACAAAAAGAAAAGAAATATTAGTGAAGCCTTGATTAGTTGAATTGAATTATATTAGAGAACTTCATCAAGATTTCTATAAATCCTGCTGTAACACTACAACAACAAATAGGCCTTATGATCAATGTTGTTTGTAATATTTACTTGGACCTGATCCTGTTCAAGTTGGGAACACCAAAAACTATGATGAATTTCGATTGTTGTAGTTGATATAGTTTTAATCATGAAGTCATTTTACATATTTGTTTCTCCATTTGTTGTTTATTGTTATTTTCGTATCTAGTTGTCAATGTAGATAATTGTTGCTTAAGTAGAGTGAAATGTGATGGTTAATTATATCAATCATCATATATGCTTAGACTGTGTTCTTGCCAAAGTTCAAATAACCTAAACTAGCATGCCTCATTTTGGATCCTGAAACTGACAGACTATGATAATGATAATGATTTTTTCTTTGTGGAACTGAAACTTAAGATTTTTGGGTTACAAACTGAACATAATAGCGTATTAGAAAAAGAAAGAAAAAGTGAACATAATAGCTTACACTAGTGAGAGACTGGGAAAGTGTGGTATAAGCTGTAATTTTGCAAGTGGCAAGTAGAAGATGTTTCGGTTTGCAGATACAAGGGATATATAACCGCGCTGTCTCAACTCAATGGGTAACTGATACTCACTAACTTTGCTGCTTATCCCTCTAAACATTGTATTTTCTTATCTAGAAGAAATATTTGCTTGAGTTTATTCTTGTTGGCATTCATATGCTAGACTTCTGATAAAGCTGTTTAAAACTACATATCTTTGAACCAAGATATAGAAGCTCATCTTTTAATTGTTTTCAAATTGGTGTGTGGAATAGGGGTTTGACCCATGTTCCATAGGTCGAATTTCGTTATAAGTCATAATAAGTTAATAACTCCCTTGAAATACAGATTTCTAGTACCAATCCTCTGAATATCAGTTATTCTAGCTTCAGCAAAATTGTTGCTAAAATATTTAATGAATTTGTTAAAACTAATACGTCTGTTTTCATTAGTTCTTGTTGTGTTTCCAGGTATCTGTTTTTAAGCAGTTTGAAAGTAAATTAGCTGCTCTTAATGATATGTTGATTGGTATCAAAGTAGGTGATGTCTGATAAGGCTCAAGAATTGTGGGTTATTTATATTCCCATCCATTTGGTTTGTAATGCATGCTCATGTAATAGTTGCCTTTCTCCAGCTATGTGAGGGAAGGACTTGTCCTTGGCCAATTCCTGGGAAATCGATTTACTGTAACATTGAGGTAAGCATCTTCCCTCTATCTATTTGTATTTTCTTGCATAATTCATCTCATTTGCTCATTTGCTCTCTCTCTCTCTCTCTCTCTCCCTCATTATTTGTGTTGTTTCTTTTGGAATTGTACTATTATCCTGATTGAGATTATTTATTTGCATAATGGTGCACTTAAAAGGCTAGATGTTATTGAGATTGGGTATCTTGTTCCTTTTTTTGCAATAAGAGGTTCCCTGTTCTTACAATTGCAAAGATACTACAAAGCCATTAAAAGACGACAGTTCTGTTGCAAAAGACCAGCTGGTTCTGTTGTAAAAGACCAGCTGGTTCTGTTGTAAAAGACCAGCTGGTCTTTTTTTACCCAGAAGATGTCTTGTGACAAAAAGATGGTTTATCGAATATGCGATGGATTAAATTTTGCTTGATGGTTTATCGAACTGCATTCTGATTTCAGCGGTTGGCAACTGGTTCGCTGCCAACTTACCTCATTGGAGCTGCTGATGTAGTAACAAATACATTAGGAAACTAATAAATTTAGGTCCTATGCGTCCTGCATCAGCTGCACTACTTAGAGAAGAGTGGAAATCTACTCTGAGCGTGATCCTTGATCCAAGAGAGGGGGATATCCTTTTACTGTTTTCATGTGTTGTGAGTCTTGTGACTTGTGAGGATACCTTTTCTTTCTATACTTGACTACTTCCTAATACAGCAGTTTATTGCATGCTGATGTAGTGCGGGATTAGTATTAATTTTCTTTAACTTTATCTTTTATTACAAAGAAATCCGATTACGGAGGCAAGAGAATATTATATGGAAGCTGATGATATTGAAGGGACCCTGAGGCAGTTACCCCGACATCTGGTTGCTGAAAGAGCTAGAGTAAGTCCCCAACTATGAGTCTATGATTGCTCCTGCTTTGCTTTTTCTCTGCAGAGTCTTGCTAGTGTTTTAATGATTCTAAACTCTCCTGAAAGATTAATTTTTATTTAAATCCTTCTCTAATTGTAAGTAATCCTTCCCTGCATTGCTGAATCTAAGCAGTTTTTTCTTTCATTTTCTCATGCATCTGGGATGATGATCTTATTATCTTTTATGAGGATTTCTACGTTGGATTACTTCTTCTTGTGGTTTGTAACTGATCATGAATTTTTTGTTCCTTGTTCTCGTACAGCTGCAGTATCTAAAGAAATGTCCTGGGAACTACTTGCAGGCTATGAAAGCTATTCCTAGAATTTTGAGGATGATGTAAGTGATTTTCCAGCAGATTTAGTTTAACACTTATGCATGAGTTCTTGTAATGCATCTCTTTTCCATCTTGGTTCTCACTTTTTCAAATGCATTATATACCTTAAAAACCATATGATTTGGAGAAGGGGGAAGTCTGGTGCAAGTCAATGTGTGTTGTTCCCAGTGAACAAAATGGAGTGTTTGCAGAATGAATTCTAAGTGATCCGTAATCTAACTAGGAATAATTAAGTTCAAAAAAATATTCAAGGACATTGTATTCAACTGCATTATTACTACTTTTCGGTTTAAATCCTTCTCATTTTTGTATTCTTCTACACTATTACTATCCTATATATTTTCAGGTATGTACATAGGTACCAAAATTATTTGTGGAACCATGCAGCCAGTATATTCTTGCATAATACATCTTATTTGCTCATTTTATGCATCCACATATCTTCTCAGAGGAGTTGTTGCAGATTCTGAAGATACTATTAAAGCATCTGCATTTGCCTTCAGATAGAAAGGGTTTATTAACTACTTTGGTTAACAAGTAATCTCTCTCTCTCTCTCTCTCTCTCTCTCTCCCTGATTATTTGTGTTGTTTCTTTTGGAATTGTACTATTATCCTGATTGAGACTATTTATTTGCATTATGGTGCACTTAAAAGGCTAGATGTTATTGAGATTGGGTATCTTGTTCCTTTTTTTGCAATAAGAGGTTTCTTGTTCTTACAATTGCAAAGATACTACAAAGCCATTAAAAGACAACAGTTATGTTGTAAAAGGCCAGCTGGTCTTTTTTTACCCAGAAGATGTCTTGTGACAAAAAGATGGTTTATTGAATATGCGATGGATTAAATTTTGCTCGACGATTTATCAAACTGCATTCTGATTTCAGCGGTTGGCAACTGGTTCGCTGCCAACTTACCTCATTGGAGCGGCACTACTCAGAGAAGAGTGGAAATCTACTCTGAGCGTGATCCTTGATCCAAGAGAAGGGAATATCCTTTTACTGTTTTCATGTGTTGTGAGTCTTGTGACTTGTGAGGATACTTTTTCTTTTCTTTCTATACGTGACTACTTCTAAATACAGCAGTTTTTTGCATGCTCATGTAGTGCAGGATTAGTATTAATTTTCTTTAACTTTATCTTTTATTACAAAGAAATCCGATTACGGAGGCAAGAGAATATTATATGGAAGCGGATGATATTGAAGGGACCCTGAGGCAGTTACCCCGACATCTGGTTGCTGAAAGAGCTAGAGTAAGTCCCCAACTATGAGTCTATGATTGCTCCTGCTTTGCTTTTTCTCTGTAGAGTCTTGCAAGTGTTTTAATGCTTCTCTAAACTCTCCTGAAAGATTAATTTCTATTTAAATCCTTTTCTTATTGTAATTAATCCTTCCCTGCATTTGCTGAATCTAAGCTGTCTTTTCTGTTATTTTCTCATGCATCTGGGATGATGATCGTATTATCTTTTATGATGATTCCCACATTGGATTACTTCTAATTGGGGTTTGTAACTGATCATGAATTTTGTTTCCTTTGTCCTCGTACAGCTGCAGTGTCTGAAGAAATGTCCTGGGAACTACTTACAGACTTTGAAAGCTATTCCTAGAACTTTGAGGTTGATGTAAGTGATTTTCCAGCAGATTCAGTTGTTTTTTACTAACTTCATTAACTGGTTTGGCCTAGAGAAGACAATAAATCTCCGTGTGTTAAGTTTAACACTCCTGCATGAGTTCTTGTAATGCATCTCTTTCCATCTTGGTTCTTGCCTTCTCAAATGCATGTACCTTACTGACCATACCATTTGGGGAAAGGGGAAGCGTTGTGCAAGTGATTCTGTGTTGTACCCAATGAACAAAATGGAGTATCTGCAGAGTAAGTTTCAAGTAACTATGAATAAGTTTCCAAAAATATGCAAAGAAATATTGTATTCTACTGCATCGTTACTACTTGTTTGTTTATATCCTTCCAATTTTTGTATTCTTCTATGCTATGACTACCCTATTTTCAGGTATGTACATAGTTACCAAAGCTATTTGTGGAACCACCCAGCGAGTATAAGAGTGCAAAAATATGGTATGCTGTCATTTGTTTATATCCACACGTATGCTTATATCCTTCCAATTTTTGTGTTCTTCTATCCGCACGTGTGCTCTTGCATAAAACATCTCATTTTCTCAGTGTATGCATCCACACTCCTTTTCAGAGGAGTTGTTGCAGATTCTGAAAATACCATTAAAGCATCTGCAAATGCCTTGGGCAAGTCCGGAACTACTTTGGTTTACAAGCACTCTATTTCTCCCTCTCTCTGATTATTTGTGTTGTTTCTTTTGGAATTTTATTGTCCTGATTGAGACTACTTATTTGCACAATGGTGCACTGAAAAGGCTAAATGTTATTGACATTAGGTGTGTTGTTCCTTATTTTGCAATAAGAGGTTTCTTGTTCTTACAATTTGCAAAGATATGACAAAGCCACTAAAAAATGACCGTTCTATTGCAAAACAGCAGCTGGTTTTTAATATTTGCCCGAAGATGTCTTGTGACATAAAGGTGGTTTATTGTATTTGCAATGGATTAAATTTTGCTTGATGGTTAGTATAATAACTTATCAACTGTATGATGATTTCAGAGATTTAGAACTGGTTCTCTGCCAATTGGAGCTGCACTACTCAGAGGAGTGGAAGTCTACTGTAAGCATGATCCTTGATTCAAGAGAAGGGGATTTTAATGTTTTCATGTGTTTTGACATGTGAGGATACTTTTTCTTTTCTTTCTGTATACTTGATTACTTCTAAATAAAGTAGTTTATTGCATGCTGATGTAGTGCAGCATTAGTATTTATTTTGTTGAACTTAATCTATTGTTACAAAGAAATCCGATTACGGAGGCAAAAGAATAAACTAATGATATTGAAGGGACCCAGAGGCAGTTACCCCGACATCTGGTTGCTGAAAGAGCTATAGTAAGTCTCCAACTATGATTACTCCTGGATAACTTCTTCTTTGTGGGGTCTTGCTAGTGTTTTAATGCTTCTCTAAACTATCCTGAAAGATTAAGTTCTATACATTTAAATCCTTTTGTTATTGTAATTAATCCTTTCCCTGCCTTTGCTGAATTGATGCAGTCTTTTCTGTCATTTCCTCATGCATCTGGGATGATGATCGTATTATCTTTTTATGAATTATGATAATTCCCGCTTTGGGTTACTTCTTCTTGTGGTTCGTAACCGATCATGAATTTTTTGTTCCTTGTTTTCGTACAGCTGCAGTGTCTGAAGAAATGTCCTGGGAACTACTTGCAGGCTTTGAAAGCTATTCCTAGAACTTTGAGGATTATGTAAGTGGTTTTTTACTAACTTCATAACTGGTTTGGCCTGGAGGAGAGAATAAATGAAGGCTATATTAAGTTTAACACTTATGCATGAGTTTTTGTAATGCATCTCTTTTGCATCTTGGTTCTCACTTTCTCAAAATGCATTATGTACCTTAATAACCATATGATTTGGGGAAGGGGGAAACGTGAACGAAATGGAGTGTTCACTGTGGCTCAAATGAACTGCATTGCCGGTTGTGGTGAACTGTGGCACAAAGGAGGGCACACACTAGACATGAAGTTCACATGGGTGAGAGCCGAAACCCTCTGTACGTAGTAGTGCGAGAACAAACCAGGATCAAACTGCTGTTCACTCATTCATTAAGATCTCATATTTGGAACAAATTGTTTGATTTTAAGATTAGATGCCATGGTTCTAAGTTTAATGAATGCTATGAACACATATTTTTCACATATTTGTTCATATTTGGAAATCAAATCACACCCTGCAATTCCAATTCCATTTGATTGTGATAGATTCAAAACCTAAACCTCATCGCCAGTCACATTAACTGTGTCTTCGTTTGCTTGGATTTTTTTCTTGGGGCTTTACGTTTTGTTTGGTTGGTGAATATATTATGTTCTAATAACATATTCATTCTCACAAGAACGATGAATAATACATTTTCTACTCGTGGCCAGGTGACATGGGATGCACCCGAAGTTCCGTGAGACTGGAAGGACTCTGTAAAGATAATTAAAGACCATTTACTGCCGAAACAAAAAACTAGAGGAGAAAGTTTTGAAGTTTAAACATGCAATTTAAATCGATTTCTTGTATCAATAACTTAAACCCTTTTGCACCATTATATATATTTGGAGACCTCTCATTCTCATACATATGAACTTGATGGCTTTATCTGAATTCTGAATGTAGAGAAATCACAACTAGAAGCATCATCTCATTGAAGGTTATTCATATGGATTATTCAAAAGATCTCATGTTGCTTATTTGGTATAGAGCATGCAAGTTAGTGATCGGTTTTCTCTTAAATTGATTTGCTTTTTAATTTTTATATCTTAACTTGTAATTGACTAGCTTGCTCATCGTAGCGCATCTACAAGGGAATGTCAAATGCAAAGTGATAAATTTGAATTTGATGGTTTATGTGACAATTTGACACTTTGAAAAAAATTAACTCCATATGAAATGTCAAATATCATATTATATAATGTCCACGTGATAATTTGACATATCGGTTGGAGATGCTCTTAACAGCCGGACAATCTGGTTGACTTTAGGTTGATTATAGATTTTAGAGCTAATTAAATTTAAATTTTGTACCCTTCGGGCCTCAACTATAAATATAAAGCGTTTGCATTTTACGACATTATTTTGAAACTAACATTTTCATTTCACCGTTGATTGATAATGATATACTGAAATACGACACTTTAGCCCTTCTGTTAGTTTGACCATTTAGGTTGACTATTTTTGCTGACGTGTCAAGCGCATATGACCCACTAGAGTTCCGCCTATTTCTTATACACAGAGGAAGACAAGAAAGGGCGGGAAACAGAGTTCTTATTTCCCAATCTCATATGGCTCTCTCTTGAAAGCATTCCTCTTTCTTATCTAATCTCAGCCTGCAACTGGCAAGCCTAAACCTCATCGTTCACAATCCGACCCGGACCCGCTTTTTTTCCCCACCCTCTGTTTGGAGTCTGGTCCCTAAACCCTCCTCGGACGGCCCCGTTTTATCATCACCAATTCCCTCGGCTCGGCCCGGCATTCAACCATAACCATTATGGTAATTTCTTAATTTCGGTTTTCAATTCTAGTTTGATTAGGTTACTTTTTATTTTATTATTATTAGTTTAATTCTAGTTTGATTAGGTTTCTTAATCCCAATTGGTTTGGTAGTTTGATATTCGATTCCACCTCCTTTTCCGTCTAGAAAATCAAAGATGTACACCGGGTCCCTCGCCTCTCTCTAAACCTCCCGTCTCAGAACACGATTCTCTCTTGTCCCAAAAACCCAGTTGCCAGAAGCAGGAGCAGCAGTTGTTGATTCTCACAAGTGCATTTACAAATTGGGAGTTGATTCTCAGGTGGGCGTAGGCCAATGGTTTATGATGTTGAGAGGCAGAATAGGGATTGGAGGAGGCTTCAGTACGAGCATGAGGTTGGGAACAATCCTCTAAATTACGATTCCTGGACTGGTTACATACGGCTAGAAGAAGATAGTGCTCCAGCTCCAGCCAATAAGCACAGAATTAGAGAGCTCTATGCCAGAGCTTTAGCTAATGTTCCTCCGCTTTGCAAGCTGCTTTGGAAGCGCTATGTTGATTTTTGGATCGACTATGCACGGTATGAGGAATTTGTTGCTGCTGGAGGAGATGCCGTGGAACGAACCAGACAAGCGTATAGGCAGTGCCTTGAATTGATTCCTCATACCAAGTTTTCGTTTGCGAAAGCATGGCTTCATGCGGCCCAGTTTGAGATTCGACAGCTGAATCTCGAGGGGGCGCGCAAGATCCTCGGCGCGTCAATAGGCTGTGCACCTAAAGCTGCAATATTTGACAAGTACATAGAGATGGAGCTGAGACTTGGGAATGTAGATCGATGTCGGAAACTGTATGAGAATTATCTGGATTGGTCACCACGGAATAGCAATAATTGGGTCAAGTACGCAGAGCTAGAGAAGACTCTGGGTGAGGAAGAACGAGCAAGGGGGATTTTCGAACTTGCCATTGGGCAGCCGCAACTTGACAAGCCTGGATTGTTGTGGAAGGCTTACATTGACTTTGAGAGATGGGAGGGTGAGGTTGAGAGAGCTAGACAGATTTACGAGAGACTCTTAGACCGGACACAGCACCTAAAGGTGTGGATCAGCTATGCAAAATTTGAGGCACAAGGTCATCAATCCAAGGATTCTCTTGTTGCACAAGGAAGAGAGGAACAATGTGTATGCATTCAGCGTTGTAGAGGGGTTTTCGAGAGAGCTGTCAAGTACTTGGATAAGAATAATAAATTGAAGGTAGAAAGGTTGATGTTGCTAAAAGAATGGTTGATAATGGAGACTAGCTTTGGGGATATGGGTGATGTTAGCCTAGTTAAAGCTAAGTTTCCAATGAATTCAATGCGAAGAGGAAGAGGCCTTGCATCCCCTCTCCCTCTCCGTTGTTCTCATCAATACTTGTCCAGAAAGTAATCATCCTTTAAATTCAATGCTTGTTTACATTTTTGTTTACATTCAATCCTTTATATTGTTATCATCTTGTCACAATGTTCAGATATTCTTGACAATAATATTTATTGTTTATGTCGATGCCCAAGCCCACGCAAAAAGATTAGTTTAGTAGTAAACTTGGCCTAATCATGTAGGGGCCCAAAACAAAAATAATAAGCAATTTTTATATATGTCCCCCCAACGCTGAAATGTAGCATAAGGAAATATTGTCTCCCACTCACCATCGAATGAGAAAAGATAGAGCAGACTGAGAGAATTGTTTTTGCTCTAGTAGTGGACGAAAAACAAATTAATAAAAAATTCTTTTTTAAAATCAAATATAAAAATTAGCCCAAAAAATAAAAAACAATCCACACTCTCCCTCCCCAACCCATTGCTCCTTAGATTTGAAACCAGGCTCCCCTACGCCAACCCACCCAATCTCTCCGTCTCTCCCTTTCCCAACATCTCACCCCAGATTTGTAACCAGCCCTCCTTCGCCAGCCAATCCACCCACTCTTCCTACCTCTCAATCCCAAGCTTTACGCAAATTGTATATCTCCGTCCAGAATTTATTGCTGGAAATGGTCCGGCCGGCCAGCCAGAAGTGGTCGCGGAACAGCTGGCAACATTTATTGACTTTAAATGAATTTCCTAAAATATGGAAACAATGGTATTGTGTGTAAATGTGGGGGTTCTTTTTTATTTGTATAATTGTAGTAAGAGTTAATTACAGTTTAAGATCCTGTGATTATATACATGTTATTCTCTATTTTTTTAATTTTTATAATCACGTACCTCAATTTTTTAAATTTGTTATAACGTAATTCCGTTGTTAGTGTTTTCGTCACATCTTTCCATTAGTTGTTTATGTGGAATTATGAGTTCCATAATTTCTCTTTTTTAAAATTTTAAATTAATTAAAATATGAATAAAATATTAAAATTAAAAAATTAGACTCTCTCTCTGCGCTCTGCGCTCTCCCTCTCCCCCGTCGATTTCTCTGCAAGCTCCAACCCTCAAATCCATCCCACAATCATTGTCACGACAAACCCAGAACCCCAGCGCCCCCCACCCTCCACCCCAGCCTGCAACTATAGAAAAAGAGAGAAAAAAAAACAAAAAATCATCCCAACCTAGCGCCCCAGCCCCCAGTAGCTTATTACCCAAAAAATCGATGTGGGTAAGGTTCAAATTCAAGTGTCTTGGAACACTACCAGTTAGATTGGCATGAGGAGAGATGGTCACAGACCTGAGCTTCTTCATGTTACTAAGAATGACAAAGGGTCCAGAGGCATTGACTTGGACATTGGAGATAGTGAAATCAGTGAGGTTTTGGAGGCGCGCGAGCCAGACGCCAGTGAGCCTACGGAGGATGTTAATGCAGGTGAAGGAGTGGAGAGAGGCAACGAGATCGGCCGAGAAGTGGATAGGGGCAATGGTATTTGAAAATGAGTTGTATAGTATGAGTTTAGGTATTTAGTTGGATCCTAGTCAACGGGTATTATTTGAAAAAATTGGGTATTTTAAATACAAAAACAAAAGGAAGGGTTGTAGGTGAAGTTTAGGTTATTTGTTGATTATTGAACCCCCACTTTTCTAGTTTGTCCCTTTATTTTCTGATTTAAAACATTTCCTATAAAAGATATCATCTAGTTTTAAGCATGAAATTATGAAAAAGATAAAAGAAACAAAAGACGATCAAGGATCGAAGAAGATCTTGCTGCGTCTTTATACGCATGCAATACGATTTTAAGGTGATGTGCTTTAACAAATTTACAAACAGGTACATAATAAGCAAGCCAACTGGTCTGAAGGGATATCCTTTTGCATATCTATCAACTTTCATATTAAATTTCACCTGAATTTTGAATATGTTTGTGTTCATATATTGTAAGTAATATTTTGAATATGGGCATACAATCTACATCTATTTATTATTAAACCTCGTCCATCCTGAATTTTGAATATGTTTGTGTTCATATATTGTAAGTAATAGTTTGGCTAAGAAATTTCATTGTTTTTGTTTTTGTGTCCCTCGTCCAGTCCAGGGTGAGCTTCTAATCCCCAAAAAACATTAAAACACAAGAAAAACAAGTAAATTCCAATTCCTATATGCGCCCCGACTCTTTGACTCGGTGTGCCTTCTCCTGCTTAAAAGAAGTTAGAAAATCCCATACAAGTCTGGCATACATGTATTAAGACCAAATCTAAAACATAAAGATCCAGCTGCTCTCCTCCTTTGTCATGTCTTCCGGGTTCACAGGGTAAAGCAGATAAAAGGTAAGGTGAGCTTCTTAATTTGGAGATTGCTTCTTAATTTTTTTGTTCTGGGAAAGAGGAGATTGCTTCTTAACAATAAAAATCGACTGCTTCGTAATTCATTTGATTTCTCTTTTAATTAAATCCTCTTGCTTTTTCATTTTTTGTGTTCTTGTTTCTATTTGGTAGGATATATATGATTTACATTACTTGGATTAAATTCAGCGACCATTGGATTAGGATCTACATTATTTGAGCCTTGGGGTTTATTCCTAATAAAAATTGGATTCACCAACCCTTAGGGTTCACTTCAGAATAATTGTTGAATTGAAAGGTTGAGGGCGGGTGTTGAGAGTGTTTATCCCACATTGAAAAATTAAGGAACCTAGTATGGGTTTATAAGGAGATGGGCTACTCCCCATTGCTAATTGGTTTTGGGTTGGAAGAGTGGGATAGATGAGTTGCTGCACTCCCTCCGCTGCTTGTTTTTCCTTTTTCTTTTTAATACCTACAAGGACATTTTATCAACTCTAAAAATACAGAATATTATGTGTTTTTTTATTTTTCTGTAAGAAGAATTTATTTCTTTATTTTATACATTTATTTATTTTTTTCGTTGTTAAGAAAGATGTTGGGAACATGGGTCTTGCATGTTTCTTGGGTTCCTCCAATGCAATGGGGACAATAGGTAC